AACATTTGCTTATCAATGAACCACACCTCTATTTTAAAGACATGATTCATACATCTTTAGTAGTAACAGAAGTAGAGCATGTTTAGCTAGGAGGAGGAGATCACAGTTTTCTTTGAAAGGAAAATTAGTACCATTTTTTTGTCTTTACCCTTAAGTAATATGTTAGATATTGATATCTAACTTATATATTACTTAGAAGGTTTACTTCTAAGTAAACCTTTGTTGAATGTAACTTTTTTTGAACAGGCTTTTTAAAAGACATTTGTTAAACTTTACTAAGAACATGATTGTAAATCTCTTTGTAATCTTTCATTTTCTTTGTGATAAGGCAAAAACAAATGAAGTCATGAATTCATTCTGTTTGTAGCTACCAAATTTCTGTGCAGAGTATTAACAAAAGTAGTTTAGAAAGAGTAAAAAAAAAATTTTTTTTTAAGAAACTGAAGAGGTTTTCTATGGCTCTCCAATTTCCATTCAAAAGGTAAATGCTCTCAAGACATAATAAAAATACATGTAGATTACAATATTTACCTCTTACAATAAGGTAGTAGCACCTGTGAACAATTGTAGGTCTCTGGAAGAGCAGATGATACATTGTTTGTGTTTATTTCTCTAATGATATACTTTAAAGTCAAGTCCAAGAAATAAACGGAAATAATACTTTTATTGTCCCTTTTCTGTCAAATGTAAGTTGGCTTCACTTTTTTTTTTTTTTTAAAGATTTTATTTGTTTTTAGAGAGGGGAAAGAAGAGAGAAAGAGAAGGAGAGATCCATTGCCTTTCCAGGGCCTGGCTTGCAACTCAGGCGTGTGCCCTGAACGGGAATGGAACCAGTGACCTTTCACTTTGCAGAGCAACACCCAACCCACTCAGCCATACCAGTCAGGGTTCATTATCTTGATAATGTTTTTAGACATTATGTACTTTTATCAAGTGCAGAATCATGATGGAGCCAAAACGTGCTGAGTTTTGTTTTGGAGCCAAAATCAAGGAGTGGGGTGAGCTTTAGCAATACCTAAAAGTCTAACACTACTTCTCATATGGTTAAAACAAAAAGGAGAACCCTTTTCTTTGCTACCTGTATTTCCATTATTTACATATATCATACTGTATTATACCCATTTGTGAACATGGCCAGCTCTTCTCCTCTACTAAGTATTTCTTTTTAGAGGTAAAAACCATGAACTTACTCATCTTTCTATGCTACCTAACATGGTGCTTGGCTTCTAATTGGCTCTTTTCTCCCCCCAACACATGGCTTTTATTGCATCTTCAAAATACCAGAAATAAGTCTGAGGAGTCACCTGGCATCTTCTTGTTTCTGTAGCTGGACAGTTTAGATCTTACTGATCAGCCCGCTGAACTGTTTTTTGTTTTTTTCCAGAAACATAGATACTATCCAGTAATTTCTGATACCCTTGTGTTAACTGAATTCAGCTGAATCAAAGCTGAATTAAAGCTGAATTTGATACAAGTTCAGTGTCTTTTCCTTCAAGAATTTGCTCATCTTTCTGGGCTTGAGATACTGAACAAGCAACTCCTGATCTCATCCAAACCCTGCAGATGTATTTTTTGCCCAAGAAACTTCTGATTTCAACAAGAAAACCATTCTAAAAAACAACATTGATGGGGAAGTAAGCATGATAGAACTCATCTTGTAACAGAAGCCCTTGATCATGTTCTCTATATGACTACAGATAATGTGAACAGTGGGCAGTTCCTTTCTATTTCCCCACCATGTGTCAACCCAGAGCCTCTTCTTTTTATATATATATAATTGATTATGCTATTACAGTTGTCCCATTTTTTTCTCCCCTTTATTCCCCTCCATCCAGCACCCCCCTCCCACCAGCATTCCCCCCCTTAGTTCGTGTCCATGGGTCGTACATATAAGTTCTTTGACTTCTCCATTTCCTATACTATTCTTAACCTCCTCCTGTCTGTTTTGTACCTACCATTTATGCTTCTTATTCCCTGTACCTTTTCCTGTACTCTCCCACCTCCCCATCCCCTCTGATAACCCTCCGTGTGATGTCCCTTTCTGTGATTCTGTTTCTGTTCTAGTTTGCTTACTTTTTGTTTTTGTTTTTGGTTTTGTTTTTAGGTTCAGTTGTTGATAGTTGTGACTTTGTTGTCATTTTGCTATTCATAGTTTTTGATGTTCTTCTTTTTCTTAGATAAATCCTTCAACATTTCATATACTAAGGGCTTGGTGATGATGAACTCCTTTAACTTAACCTTATCTGGGAAGCACTTTATCAAGCATTCTAAATGATAGCTTTGCTGGATAGAGTAATCTTGGATGGAGGTCCTTGCCTTTCATGACTTTGAATACTTCTTTCCAGCCCCTTCTCGCCTGCAAGGTTTCTTTTGAGAAATCAGCTGACAGTCTTATGGGAACTCCTTTGCAGTAACTGTCTCCTTTTCTCATGCTCCTTTTAAGGTTCTCTGTCTCTTTTTTAAAGATTTTATTTATTTTTAGAGGGGAAGGGAAGGAGAAAGAGAGGGAGAGAAACATCTATGTGTGGGAGAGAGAAATCAATGGGCTGCCTCTCGCTCACGCCCAGCTGGGGGCTCGGCCCCAGCCCAGGCAGTGCCCCGGCTGAGAACTGAACCGGTGACCTCTCGGTTTGTGAGATGACACCCAGCCCGCTGAGCTACACCGGTCAGGACCAGAAAGAAAATCTTTTAATAAAAGATTCTTACCCAGCAAAATAATGACTTGATGGTTTACATTTTGTTAGACTCACTTGTATCTGTATTTACTATGAGACTATCTTGGACACTGGAAGTGAAACAAAGAATGAAAGTTTTTACAAGGGTGATTGAAACAAAAGAACCATTTTTGCTTTCAATATCAGAAGTTATTAGCCTGTAGTGCATGGTTATGCATTTCTGTCCCTGGATTGACATAGCCACAGTGATTAACGTTGAGAAACTAATACATAGGAAGGATTTTGCTAAAGCTAAGAAGGGTGTAGATGTATTTCACAGTTCTCATACACTAATAGTAATACCACCAAAACTAAGGGTACCATTAGCAACAGAAGCATTAAATACCTGTTAGGTAAACTGTAGACCAAGACTTTCAGTAGTACAGATATAAAATAAAACTGAAATGATTTTTCTTACTTGCCTAAGATTGTATGGACATTATCACAGCTACCAGTTAAATGTAAACCAGACTGGTAAATGTTTTATATGCCTCTAAAATTTCATTTTAAAATCTGCTTGATATTAAAATAGGCAGGTGCTTTTGGTTAGGTAGTAAAAACAGTCAGTTGCCCTGTGTAGATCCTCTTTTGTTTATGTTGTGTGGCCCAGCACATTCTTGTATTTGTGAATTTCATGTTTAGGTAAAAGCAGTATTTATACAAAACAAGATTTTTAACATTCGATTAAGTAACTTAGCTGATTTGTTGTTTGGCTAGTTTTATATCTGATTAGTGCTTTCATGGAGTAAGAAAATGACCACCATATTTCCTTACCTTTTTCTGAACTTGCAGAGCCAGAAGAGAACTTGGGAGGGATTTATTAGAACTTGGAGGTGGTGGTGGAGGGCCTGGAACAGTACTGGGAAGAGGATGAAGAGCATATAGGATTAAGGAAGAGACGGGTGGTGCCTGAGGACTTGACTGCCTTTTCTTCCTTTCCTGCCATTTTGCATGGTGGTAGCAGCTCTAGTTTTCATACACTGAGATGCACCCATTCACCTGTTGGGTTTGCTTCTTTTTCTAGAAATGCCCTGCTGTCAACATCCATTTGTAATCTAGCTGAAATTTTACATGGTCTTAAAAAATCATTTGGCAGTTGGTGAAACACCTTCTAAGAACATATAAGACTAATGGCTGTACTTTTCTTTGTTGTTTTAAAACATTTTAGGTCCAAGGTTGAGAATTTGTGTATGGTAAGGGCTATGACTTAGTTTTACATGGATTTTCAACTGTGCAGGTGGTTCGTGTCCCAAATCCCCGAGCTGTTCAAGGGTCAACTGTATTTGGTCCCTTAAACCCTGGAAAGGTGAATAGTTTATTCCTAAAGGAATAGGGATGTATTCTGGGTGTGGGTTTGCCTTTCCTGCCCTTGTGATTGTGCAGTGAACACTACATGAGAGTTTGGGAAATGTTTAATCTACCAGTAAGCATCGTCCCACATAATGTCATTTCATGACAGGAGACTGACCTACTTTGTGATAAGTGCAGGAGAGGGCCCAGACCATGGGATCTAGTGGTGGCATCGTATATAGAATCATCTCTATAAGCTGCTAACATAACAGAGGACTGGAATGGCCTGATGAAGGCATAGCTGAAGCATCAATTCAGGGTAATATTTTGTTACAAAAGAGTGCTATCCTCCAAGATGCAACATATGTATAATCAACTTGCCATCAAGTGGCTGGTTGGTTTCCTTAAGAGATTGTGCCAGCCCTGGCTGGGTGCTCAGCTAGTTGGAGCATCATCCTGTGCACGAAAAGGTTGCAGGTTTGATCCTCAGTCAGAGCACCCACAGGAGGCAACTGACTGATGTTTTTCTCTCACATCCATGCTTTTTTTCCCCTTCTCTCCCTTCCTCTGTCTCTAAAATCAGTGAAAATAGATTCGGGTGAGGATTACAAAAAAATTGTGCCACATTGGGAGTTTAGTGTTTGTCTCTGTTGCTGGCCATTGGACCTTTGGTGACACCAGTAGCTAGAGCTTTTTTGGTAAGTGGGAGTTCGTGTGTAGTCAGACGCACACGCTCACCGCGGATGATCACCTTCTTTCATAAGCCCATCTTGTCAGCACTCGGAGGCCGTGACAAGAGATGGATGATGAAAATTGGTTGAGTCATTGTCCACTTGGTTGTGTAGTGGCCCTTTCCCAGTGGATGCTCTCTGATATCTGTTAACATAGGATACAAAGGTCTTTAAACTGTGTAGTCCGTGCATAGTATATATCTGCCACTATGATCACCTTCTTTTTCTTTTTTTTAAATTCATGTCTTGTATTAACCCATATAAGTTAATTGTCTTCCAGTTTGTTGGAGCAGTAGGTCAGATGACACTTGCCACGGTAATGTTTGTCAAAGTGGCTGGCCATAAAAACTCCAGCACTGCATTCATCTGAAGCGCTCTCCTGACAAAGGCAACTGATTTTCCCATTCTCATTAACTTCGTAGTATTTCAGTACAGCCAGCTTAACCTTCTTCCTTTCATGCTTATTCTTCTTAGGAGTGGTGTAAGACTTCCTTTTCTTAGCTCCACCACGAAGTCTCAACACAAGATGAAGCGTAGACCCCTTTTGAATGTTGCAGTCAGACAAAATATGTCTATCCCACTGTTGCTTGCCAGCAAAGATCAGCCTTTGTTTGTCAGGAGTTCATTCCTCATGCTAGATCTTGGCCTTTACATTTTCTGTTGTGTCCAAAGGTTTAACCTCAAGAGTGGTGGTCATGAAAATCTGCATCTTGGCAGTGATTCCACCTGAGGTGGAGGAAAAAGAAGAGATGGGTTATACCGGGGGCACAGGAGAGGGAGGTGGGTGGGCTGCTGGCCAGGGAGCGGGAAGAAGCACACGTTCACTGCAAATGGTCACCTTTTTTCACAAGCCCATTTTGTCAGCACTCAGAGGCCATGACAGGAGATGGATGATGAAAATTGGTTGAGTCATTATCCACTTGGTTGTCTGGTGCCTCTCGCATGGTAGATGTTCTCTGATGACTGTTAGGATACAAAGATCTTCAAATGTGTCTATTCCTATGTCCTCCCACATGCCTCTATCATAAGACCTCCTTGCCCCAATTTTCCACTTTTTCTCATTTTATATCCCCCTGACCAATATGTCAGGACATTTACCTATAAGTTGCCAGTGTTCTAACTTCAAACCATGCAAAGTAGACAGCCAGCTGTACTGCCTAAAAGCTCCGCTCATTGGGAGGGGTTTCCGTCACCTCTGCCTTTCAGTGCCATTCATTCCAAGTAAGGCTGTAGTGCAGCTACTACGTTTTTGATTTGTACTCACATACGACAATCTGTGGAAAAGATAAGTGTTTTTTCTTTGTCAGCTGGCTATATTTAGGCCTTCATACGGCCAAAGGTGTATGCTGAGGGAGTGGTGCTTGTGCAGTAGTGGCAGATGATATGAGGGTTTGGGCTGACTGCTAATACTTGTGACTTCTGGTACTACCTGTGCTTGAAACTGGATATATCACTTTCATTAAGCTGGATTCTTGCTGGGTCCACCCAACATTACGAGTTGGCGAGTCTCGCAGAACTGGCTCATGATGATGGGTGATTCTGGGTAAATGGTCACTTGGTATATACCATAGTCAGGTGCTCCCTATCTACAAGGACCCAGTAGCATGCCAGAAATTGTTTTGCAAAAAGCATACACTTTTCCGCTGCAAATGGATGGCCTTGCTATAGAGCCCCAGGGACCTGTGTAATGATCCTCCCACTGGGGCTCGCCGTAATACCATAGGGTCTGCCAGATTATTTGCATCACCATCTAGATCTGTAGAGTCCTTTTCTGTTATAGCTACTCTAGGAAATGGCAGCTTTTTGTGTCACCAAGTGTAAAAGCCAGAGCAGTATTCTCAGGTGTTATATTTCCCTCTTAATGGTGGGACATAAAAGAGTCTATTCTTTATTTAGATGCCTTTACTTGAATGGCATATCTTATCAAGACCCTGGCTACTGGGCCTATAAAAATTTTACTGATGTAATTGGTATCTGAATCTTTGTAGCATTTATCTCGCACCCTCTGGAGTCCTTGTGTCCTGACATGGCCTTTAATGTGCTATCAGTCTTTTGCTTATCTGGCTCAATTAGCATGATGGTATTAATTAGTGGTTTACTGTGATTTTCTGCAGAAAGTCCAGATGATCCATGTCTCTTAGGGCTATGTTATGTGAAAGGGTGGCAAAATTGACGGAGTCCTGTAAATGTATGTTGCAGTGCATTCTATGTGAATATGATTTGTTTCTGATGCTATTTTCTTTTAAAAAAATTTTAAAAATTTATTGATTGGTTTTACAGAGAGGAAGGGGGGGAGAGAGAAACATCAATTTGTTGTTCCACTCACTGATACATTCTTGGTTGATTCTTGTATGTGTCCTGACGGGGGATCAAACCCGCAATCTTGGCATATCAGAGTGAGGCTCTAACAACTGAACTATCTGGTCATAGGGCTTACAGGGATAAAAGAAAAAGTTTATTTCTCCAATTTCTGTATTAATCTGCTCTAGCAAAGGTACCACATCTGGCATCTTTGGTGTTCCGTGATCACCAAACTGACAGCTACAGTTGTGACAACTATTAGGTTGAGCTTGTGGTAATCTGCTACCTTCCTCCCAGATATGTCTGGTTTCTGCAGCAACTACAGTGTTAAATCCTGCATTCTCTTAAGAGTATTGCCCTAATTTCTGTCATCTTCCCTCCTTAAACCCCAGGATCCAATACTATTTTGTTTGTTCTTTTATTTCGTATCTTAGCGTGTGGTGTAGGGCTAAGTGGTTTCTTAGTGGTTTCCTTCCACTTGGCCTTCCCGGTATGATAACTCTTATCCTTCATGCTAAGGACTCAGAATGGAGGTTCCACTAATTCCAAGTATGTCTTTTTAAAGTATGTGCTCAGGGACCATGAAAGCGACCACTAGGATGTCCACAGACCCAGTGGGCCCCTTGTATGCTGGATCTTCGACCAGGACTCAGTTCATTTCTTGGTCCACATAAGTCCATGCATACACTTTCAGACTCCAGATGTCACTGTCAACTTGTCCTCAAAACGTTAGTGTTCCCTTTCCCCTGTTTACTGTTACCTGAATGAATGGCCAGAAGCAGGGCCAACTATATTGTTTGTATGCCTTATATTCCTGGATTGATAGTGAGCAAGAGAAATTGGCCACCAAAAGTGCCATGGTTCTCCCAGCCCAGTCCGGGAAAGGATGGCCAGGGGAGGCCAGAGTGTGCGGTCCAGAGTACCCTCCCAGGAAAACAAGAGGAGGCGAATCATGTGTGTGAGCTGAGGCTTCAGGCCCTCGGCACATATTTCATGTTCCTCTTCAGGCTTCACGTAAATAACACAAATTTACAGATAAAATTACTAAGAATTTTATGACAGCAAGTGCAGAGCATTAAACTTCAAGTGCAGTGCCGACTGGTGTGACTCAGTGGGCTGGGCATCGGTTTGGAAACTGAACGGTCTCTGGTTTGATTCCCTGTCAGGGCACATGCCTGGGTTGCAGGCCAGGTCCCTGGTTTGGGGGTGTGCAAGAGGCAACTTATTGATGTTTCCCTTGCATATTGATGTTTCTTTCCCTCAGTTTCTCTCTTCCCTTCCACTCTCTCAAATAAACAAACAAACAAACAAACAAACAAATCTTTAAAAAAATAGAAAACTTCAGCCCAGCTGGTGTGGCTCAGTGGATTGAGCACTGTCCTGTGAACCAAAGGGTCGCTGGTTCGATTCCCAGTCAGGACACATGCCTGGGTAGTGGTCCAGGTCCCTTGTAGGGGGCATGCAAGAGGCAACCACACATGATGTTTCTCTCCCTCTGTTTCTATATCTTTAGAAACACAAAGACCAGAACATAAGTGATCAAGCTACTGGGTCCTTGTAGATAGGGAGCACCTGACTATGGTATACCAAGTGACCATTTACCCAGAATCACCCATCATCATGAGCCAGTTCCGTGAGACTTGCCAACTCCCTTTCTCCTTCCCCTTCCCCTATATCTAAAAATAAAGAAATAAAATCTTAAAAAAACAAACAAACTTCAAGTGCAGATTACTTCTGAGTGTGGAGTTGGTAAGACCTGTGGCATATGGCGTCTTAGAGCCATAGGTTTCTTAGGGAATTGTTATACAATCAGACCTTGGTTCTCAAACATCTTCCATTTCCTACATGCTAAGGAAATGGAAGATGTTTCCATTTGATTTTCAACCAAATTGTTCATAGAAAACAATATCTTGGTTGTTGAACAGAACTTCGGTTCTCCACCCAACAAACTCTTTTATACTGATACCTGTTTGATCAGTCACGCATCTCTCAGGCAACAAACAAGAGAGAATGCATGCGTATAAGTGTGATTAGGTTTTTGAACAAATTGCTTCTCAAACAGCCTTCCAGAATGAATGAAGTTCAAGAGCCCAGGTTCCATGGTACTTGCTTTGGTGTTGCTGGGTTCCTTCTTCCTGTGTACCTGGCCTCTTTCGGTCAGTGGGTTCAGGATCTGAGACTGGCTCATTTCTAGAAACTGAGTGTGCGGTTCTGATTTTTTATTGGGGTGTCCACCCTCAGTGTCTTGATCATCTATCCTTGATTTTTTTTTTATGTTACTGTGGATGAAAAAGGGGCACTGTAATAAATCTAACTGAAAGTAACCTCACGGGGTGATCTGATCATAAATCCCTAACTGGGCAAGTCATGGTGCGTCATCATGCCCCAGGCCTATAACTTTTGCCAGAAGTAATTCTCTTTTCCAGACCCCTGAAAGAGAGCACATAGTCTTAACTATCCTGTAATCCAGTCCCTGCCTTGCTTTCTCCCACCATTATGTAATCTTCCTTACATTCTCTCCTTAGTTGCAACTGCATAAAAGAATCAGTGAACTGTCATTTCCTGGAACATTTGAGATCTTGTTTCCCTGCGGTTTTCATCAGTTTTAGCTCAAATAAACTCTTATAAAAATTTTTGTACAGGTGTGTACGTTCTTATGTCAACATTACAGATAGAGAACTACTCTTATTGGCTGCTTGTTATTTTTCTGCTAGTGACATCATGTTTTATTATTAACTATCTCCAAAAATCTGAGTCCGGTCCCTTTGACTGTCACTCTGACTAAGCTGGTCTTTGTTTAGTAATTGTGTCCATCTGGCTTCTAACAGTTCAGTACCATGGACTGGTATCCTTTGTTTCAAGGCCCTGTCATCACCTTTGCTGTCAGTAAGGTTAGTTATATAACAGCCTCTCCTGTGAGGAGAACCAACTATTAACTTCTTTTTTAAAAAACTGGTTTTTGAAAGAGAGAGAAACGTTGATTTTTTTGTTCCACTTCTTTATGCATGCATTCATTGGTCCCTGCATGTGCCCTGATGAGGGATCGAACCTGCAACCTTGGCGTATTGGGACAACATTCTAACCAATAAGCTGCCTCGCCAGGGCAGTATTAACTTCTTAAAAACACTAGTGCCCCTCTCACTGGCACGTTCCTTAGGACATCGTCCCAGCTATTCCAAGAAACATAACCTTTTGATGGGTTTTCTGAAACTCTTCGACAAGCCTACCTTCCTGAGCCTTTTAATCCCTTCCTCCGTTGTCTGCCACTGCAGTTTTGGCATTGTTACTTTACTTAACATGGATTGTCACTTTTCCAGCTTTTAAGAATCATCTTAGTAGTGTAAGTTTATACCATATCTTAAGGTTTTTGCCAGGGTGTTAAATCCTGTATCTTTAGAGAATGATCAGTTAAGCTCTCCCTTTTTAAACTTATGTCCTGGTCTTTGTGTTCATCAGAATTCAGTCACATTTGTACTCCCCTGGTTCGCGTTGGCTAAGTCTCATAGCTCTCTGAGGTTATAGTTCCTTTCTGACCTTACCAGGCATGGCACTGACCTGCTATAAACTAAAGGCCTATGAGCCAGGGGGCATGGAGGTGGCAGATTCTGAGGGGGCATTGTTTTACTGAGCAGGTTGGAGAGTCCTTTGCTTTATCTTCAAGTGAGAAAAGAGTGCTAACTCTTAGAGCTCTGATAAGGCCATGCTGGCATAGCATACGTCCCTTGGCTGAGACTTAACCCTCTTTGAAGCTGGGCTACTTTGATGGACTTGATCTTCAGCTTTTTTTTTCCTCCTGCTGCCAAAGAAAAAAAGCACCTAATTTATGTTTACCTAGGAGGTCTTGTGACTTTCATATTTGACTTTCAATTGACTTAATCATGCTTGGCTTTTTGTTACCTTTTTCTAGAGCATCAGTTGAATTTAATAATTCTATTGTCATTATATTGTTTCCCCCTTACTCTTCAAGTGCTTGATACATCCGGTCACCTAGAGCATTTTCTTCCACAGATAGAAAATCACTATTCCTCGCTGGTGAAAGTTGAAGAATTGGACCAGCACCTTGTGCGAGGGATTGTTTGTGTTATACCTACCACCAGTGTTGGAGTTCTCGTCATCTAGTCTGTGATCAGTTCAACTCCAAAACTACATCATATTTCCAATTTTCTCAGATTACATGTGGCACCAACTGTTAGTAGATACTGCTCTGAAAGCACTGGAATTTGAGTTTAGTAGTCAGACTATTTCTTAGGGAATGCTCTTGGGATCTAAACTATGAAAGAGATAGGAAGTAAGGTTGGACAGATCTGATCCTTGTCTGAAGAGTGAGGGAGGTTGGATATCTATATACTTAGTCAAATTTCTTTCAAAACATTTTTTTGCTTTATTTTTGTATTTGAACATTCCAAACTTACTGAACCATCCTCCTATATCTAAAATAACTACTACTTTCTTTAGGCAAAACAATGCCTTCCTTCTAAAATATTCTCATACCCTTTCTCAGGTGTTTATGTAAGTTTGGAGCATGTTTATTGTTTTTGTAACAAAAGTTTGCCTTTTTCCTTGCCCTATAGTAAATTCAAGTTGAGGGCTGGAAAGAGAACTTATTTGAGGAAACTGAGAATGATATATTTTAAAATGAAAACTATCCTTAAATGTTTTTATGATATTTTTATATTATAAATCTGAATTTTAAACCCATAAAAATAAATCTCAGTTGGCAATGTTCTCACTTTATAAGTTGTACATTTCTATAATGTACTTTTAAACTGTAATCATTGTTACTGAACTGGGTTTATTTTTTTAAAAAAGATGATGGATTCTGTTTTAAGCATAATATTTATTCTTTTCTCTTTTTAGAAACTATATCCTACCTCCGTAAATTGGTTAATAGTGACATGGAAGATCCACTTGGTGAGTATCACCTACATTTTCCTTAGAAAATGATATTTGTGTTTTATCCTCACCTCCACTAAAGCTTTGAGAGTAAATTAATTTTTTTCATGTTCATTATGCTTCTCTCTCGATTAGTGGTTCTGAAACTTCTGATCTCAGGATCCCTTTATACTCTTAAATATATTTGAGAACCCTAAAGAGCTTTATTTGTGTGACTTATATTTGTTGATATTTATAATATTGTAAGTTAAAACTCAAACATTTTGAAAATATTAATTCATCTAAAATAACATAAATAAACCCATTATATAAGTAACATTTTTAATGAAAAGTAACTCCCAAAATAAACAAATTACTGAGAAGTGTGGCATTGTTTTATATTTTTGCAAATCTTTTTAATGACTGGTATTAATAGAAGACTGCTGGATGAACATATCTGCTTATGCATTCATTCTGTTGTGCTATCACATACCAGGTAGTCTCTGGAAAACTGACTATGCAGTTGGAAGATAATGAGTGAAAATACAAATAACCTCTTTGTATTATTATAAGAAATAATTCTAACCTTGCTATTAAAGGATTCCCCAGTGGTCCCTAAATCACATTCTGAGAGCTGCTTCTCTAATATGTTAGTTAATTCAAATAAAACAAGAACCATTTGGCAAGTTAAAATAAGAAAATTTAAATTGTCTATCTAACAACTTGGTTAAGGGAATATAAATATCAACTCACAAAGGTTTAGTATCTGCCTTTATGGCTAAAATAGCAGTTACTATGTATTGAACCCTATTTTCCTTTTATTTTTTTAAATATTTTTTTAATTTATTTTTAGACAGAGAGGAAGGGAGGGAGAAAGAGAGGGAGAGAAGCATCAATGTGTGGCTGCCTCTCACACACCCCCTACTGGGGACCTGGCCTGCGCCCAGGCACGTGCCCTGACTGGGAAGAGAACTGACGACACTTTGGTTCTCAGGCCAGTGCTCAGTCCACTGAGCTACACCGGCCAGGGCCTATTTTCTTATTGACTGTAATTTCAAAGAGAGATACAGTCTAGGATATCCATTTATAAAAAAATTATACTAGGAAGTATAGTTGGGAAGTACTTCCCACTTAAAATATGCATCAGCAAAAAAGGAACCAGAGACAGTTTTCCTTATTTAACCTTAGCATGCATGCTGGAGGAAAATTTTGATTCAAGCATTTGGTGATTTTTTTACCAAATGGGAAAAATCTAAGTCTTCTTTTATGCTAGTGTAATCTGAAGAAGTGTAGTAAAAATGTTACCAAGTTTATATTCTATTCATGCCAGTTACCATTGATGACTGTGGGTAGGCACTTTGGCCCACTTGTATAAAATATCAGGTAGCTCAGATTAATAGGTGTTGTCTTGGATTTCAGAAGACTATTCTTGAAAACCTTGCAAAATCAGAATTTCTCCTTTGATTTTAATGACCCTAAAAGGCTTCTTTAGGACCTTGGCTCCTCTGTCCCCCACCCCAAAGGATACTTTACATTGCATCTACTTCATCAGTGAAATCCTTAGTTTGAACACCAGGGGGCAGTTAGTACTTTGTTTATAAATGTATAGTTTCATTATCAAGTTAATTCTTGAGGGGATTATTTATGAACAATTTGATTGTAGTTGCGTGGTGACAAATCCTAAAGAACATGTCCATGTGGCCAGCGAGAAAAATGTACAGTGACTCCAAAGGTCTTTACTGGGAACCGTTTCCTCTGCGACCTTCAACATCACCTAACTCAAGTATAACTTAAATTTGATTTAATCTATTTAATTTAATTTAATTTAATTTAAATATAACATAAATTTACTGGAGAATATCAAAGTGAGAGTTACTATGGAAGTTATATTTGGCCAGTAGTCAGCTGAAACATAAATTGAAATGTGATTTTGATCATATCACTAATAGAAAAAAAGTTGTGTTCTGTGCTAGTGAGATTTTTCCTCTAACACTTTAAATCTTGGAATCTGTAAATTAATTAACATTTGTATTCATAGTGGGGATTTTAGAAAAAATGGAAATCATTCATAGTTATATATTTAACAGCCAATCTCATTCTGTCTCCTCCATTCCTTCTTCAAATGTTACACTGATTTTTTTCTTAGTTGCTTACAGAACATACACATGATAAGAATTTGGTTTGAGTTATGGTCCACACAATGCCATTTGACAAAGTGAAGGTTCTGAATGTGAAATGAGTTTGTTTCTAAGAAGATGGAGCCTGTGTAAGATGGAGTGAGGATTTTGTTACAGTTAGGTTAGCTAACAGTTTTGTGGATAGATAGATATATTGAGAATGAATTTTTTATTAAAAAAATAAGACTGAGGGATTTTTATCCATCAAGTTCCAGTGGGACTGACCTAAGGCTTCTAGGACTTTTCCTACATGGGCAGATGTTTACACATTTTATTATATATTAAAATTCATTAATTTTGTTAGTATTAACACTTGTTAATACCACTCCTGATCTCATTGCAAAAGTCTTTAAATTTTGGAAGTTGTTGAGCTCACTCTGATGGATATGTTTTCCAAATTTTTAATTTTCTTTTGAAAGCTTGACTTAATATCACTGACAATGCATACTGTCACGTTTTGTTTTGTTTTTAGTAACAGGCTCACTTAATTCAATTTTGAGAAAATATCTGTCAGATATCTAAGCATGAATAACATAATCTGTCATTCAGTCTTTCAAGTGAAAGTGGTTTTTTGTGACATAAGCTGGCTAGTTCATCGTGCAACTCAGTCATACAAGTGCCTTTCCTGAAGGTAACCATTGCACTTAAGTTTAAAAAGACTTGGACCAAAGGTTGAGAGTTATTACAATTAATAATTTTTATGTTTTTCTCAAGGACATTATTTTTTTCTCAAGGACATTCTTTTTTTCTCAAGGACATTCTTAAAGCTGGCATTACGCTCTGGCCAGTGTGGCTCCGTTGGTTGGAGCGTGGCCCTGTAAACAAAGGGGCTGCGGGTTTGCTTCCTGGCCTGGGCGCTGGTCTAGGCTGGTCCCTGGTCAGGGTGCATATGGGAGGTGGCCAGTTGATATTTATTTCTCACATCAGTGTTTCTCTCGCTCGTCTCTCCCTTTCTGTCTCTAAAATCAGTAAGCATGTACTTAGGTGAGGATTAAAAAAAGAAAAAGCTGGCATTATTTTTAACTTCAGTTATATGGTGGTGGAGAATATGAGGCCTATTACAATTTGGTGCTACTGCCTTGATTTTTGTTAAAGTACCAGCAGTTTTGCTCACCATTGCTTTTGGACCATCAGAGCAAGTGTCAACACAGTGGAAAAGGCAAATAATTCTTTTTAAAAAAGATTTTTTATTTGTTTTTAGAGAGGGGAAGGAAGGGAGAAAGAAAGGGAGAGAAACATCAATGTGGTTGCCTCTCACGCATCCCCTACTGGGGACGTGGCCCACAACCCAGGCATGTGCCCTGACTGGGAATCGAACTGGTGACCCGTTGGTTCGCAGGCTGGTACTCAATCTACCTAGCCACACCAGCCAGGGCAAGGCAAATAATTCTTTAGTATTATTAACTATATAATTACACCCTTTGGACTCCTGAAAGGATCTCAGGGATCTCCAGGGATCAATGAACCATACTTGCTTCAGCTTCCTGAGATTCGTAGAGTAGAAGTCATGAGCAAAGTCAATAGTCTTGGAAATTGATTTGGCCAGGGCTTCAGTGTGGCCCAGACTTGGGACATTTGGCAGAAATATGGTCACTGGGAGTGAGCAATTCTGTGGTTTTTCCTAAATTGACTGTTACCTGCCTATAGCTGTAGCATAAGGAATACTTCCATGGAGTGAAATGAGTGTTCTGAGCTCATTAGGCAGATGAATATTTTGAGAAGAAATTCACTAGCGTTCAGTCAAGACAAGCTGATAGCCAGGCTTACCTTGGCACTATGTTCTTATCTTTGAAAAGAGGATAAAAGGAAGCAGAGATCTCAGTGATGACAGCCTTTTGTATGTCCCCTGAGTTACACTGCTCCAATCTGGATACGTGCCCGTCTATGTGGGATACACCTTGGTCATCCTGGGATATTCCTAGTTACCTAGCAACTCTGCTTCTCTCCTGTGTTTCCTCTTTTGTTTCCTAAATCTTATGTCTTCCTCTTTCTTGATTGGCAGTAACCTCTTGGTGTTGGACCTCCTGGCATAGTTCTCTAATTTTTGTCTTTTTTCTTTAGCTCTATCTCCTGGAAGATTTTTTTTTTTATCTTCTATTAAATTTTTTTTACTATTGTGTTTTAATTTCTAGGAGGTCTTTTTTAGTCTCTGAATGTTTCTTTCACAATATTCTTTCATTATTTCAACAAATTTTCTTTGTTGCTTTGTCTCTTTTCCCCTAAAGTTACTTTTCTCTGTTTTGATCTCTTTTATATTAGTGTTTCTTCTGATGTCTAGTAATAGATGCTCGTGATTAAGAGTGGGAAGCTTTAAATTAGAAGCTTTAAACACATAGGCTGGTTGCCTTTGGGCCTTACGATAGGATGAACTTTTTGTCCCTATTGTTGATTAACTTATCCCTACCAGTTGTCATGGACCAAGAAGCAGAGTCCTCCCATCACTGTGTAGATGGGCTGAAGCAGTGAAGAGGACTGGTGTGGGCTGCTGCATTCAACAGTAATTGTGCATATGTTCACTTAATTCCCTTTAGTTTCAGTACTACATTCCCTCCAACAACTGCCTCTTGTGTTCTCCAGTCCAGAGACCATTTGTTTCATCCCTTCTAGAAAACAGACCTCCCAAATGCTGCCAGGGTGGGTGCGGAACAAACATTCAACATCATGAAATGGGGAAGATTGTAATGGCATCAAACAGCTCTTACCCTGAATCTCCTTATTTTATTCCTTTCCTTTCATCCCCAGTTTCAAAGCATACGATGACAGAATACAGTAAAAGTATCATTAAACTACATTGATATATGCAACTAGTTTTATTTTAAGTAATGATTGCACTATACATAAATGTTAAGGGACGGAAGGGTC